CTCCTTTTCTCTAAGAACTTCTTTTTCAAGGTGTTTTTTTTTTTAATTTTTAAAATTTCACCATCACAGAACTTTTAGAATGAATACAAATTTAGTACAAGTCCATTTGACTCCAGTAGTTACAACTATGGGCTGGGGGGGTGTCTCACTTCAGAATCCCTTCTAGCACAGTGCTAGACGCATCAGACGTGCTCAGCAAACTTATTGCTATGGGCATACACTAAAAAAGTTCACTGTTGACTCTGATTTCTGTAACGGAGTAAAAACTGCTCTATGGCTCTCTTGGCTTGGAAAGCAATCTTCACGAAAGCACTTTGCTAGGCCTGTCTCAACATAAGCTGCTAGGTAGGTTGGAACTGCCAACCTTTATGTGAGCAGCCAATCACAAACAGCCCACACCACCTTAAAGGATGTAATAAAAGTCCCCAAACCAAGTCCCCAGTCAACTTGGACTCAAATGCTCTATAGGATTTCCAAATCTTTAGGGGAAGCAGTCAGCCTCATCTTTCTCCCCAGGAGCCCCTGATGGGTTTGCAGTCCAACACTGAACCGGAAGCACCACTCCTTATGTGATAAACTACCCCAAACGGAAATAAGTAGATGCCCAGTCATATCGACACTGAAGGGCAGGGTAGAACAGCCCCTGTGAGTTTCTGAGGCTGTGGCTGGTGGTTTCAAATAGCTGACCTTGCAGTTAGCAACCCACAGCCTAACCACTACCTAACCCCCTGAGTTCTTAAGTGCCCAGGGCTCAATCCTATGTGCTCAATAAAACCCTTATTTTATCTACCAATCCATCAAGTGGATGGCAGTTGGGGGAGGCCCAGGGAATCTACCAATGGCATTGCAGTGCTGGACTCAGGTAAATTACTCCAGGGATTCAAGTCAAAGAACACTTGTATTAATTACCAGGCTTTTTGAAGGCAGGCAGGAATGTTTTCTGGTCTTAATTATTTGGACTATTATTTTAATTGTCACTTCTCAATTAAAGACTATGCCATAGTTTGCAAAACATTGCAAACCTAGCCCTTATAAACAAAGATTAACAAAATATTCTCCAAGTTTAAATCGCCAATAGCTCCCTGAAATGAGTCACTAGCAATTAAGTATATAATTCTTCAGCGTCCAAATTCACTAGGAATGGCCCAGATATTTTGTTTGGAAATACCTACATAATTACCCGAGTCTCCCTGACGGCCCCCACCCCTCTCTCACTAGAGTGATGCCGAAGGCAGTATTTAGGGGGTTTAAATGTTTCCAAATAGGAGGATTTGTTACTTTCCAAAAAGGCAAATACCGATTTTTAAAAAAAGCTTTATTACCAAATGTCTGTAAAAGGTTTTCCTGTTTGGGACAAAAAAAGAAAAACCAAATAACCTCCTCTATTTAATGTTCACAATTGTCTAAATGTGGGGGGTGGTCCTAAAAAAAAAAACCCACCCAAATTATGGATTGTGGATCAAAGACTAGAAAAAACCCCTGAAGGGACCTCTGTGGCGCCTCCCTCCAAATGGGCGTTCTTGAAACATTTCTTCTTTCAGTCAGCAAAACGCGGCTTCGCCCAGAATAATTCCATTAAAAAGCCCCCACCGCAAGGAAACATTAATTTACTTTGCAAGCATACGTTCCAGTCTGTGCTTTATTATTTTTTCACCCACCCCCATCTTTCTTTTTTTTTTTGGTACCCTGAGACAAATGTTTTTTTCCCCCAGAGTTGAAAGCCATCCAAAAACAGGACCACACACGCAGCCGCCTGGCCAGACCCGCGCTCCGCCCGCCCCCGCGCCGCGGCCGCGGCCGCCGGAGGCGCGCAAACTCCCCCAGCCAGAGGGGTGGCCTTCCCGCCCCACCTCCCACTTTGTTCTCTTTGGACGCGGTGGGTGGGGGCGGAGGAGGGAAAGGAAACCGAGGAGAGGAGCCTGCAAAGCAGAGCTTCTCCCCTAGCTGCATCTCGGGGCGCTGCAGGGCAGATCCGAGGCGGCTGCCGCACTGAGGCCCCCCCGGGCGCGCAGAGTGGTCCGTCCCACGGACGGGGGCCCCCTCCCTCGCGCCCCGCCAGCCCGTCCTCACCACTCGCTCCCACAACACCTAGCAGAGCGCAGCGCCCCGAGTAGATTACAGCGCGGTCTTTGTCGGGCGGGCCTGGCTCCTGGCCAGCAGCCCAAACAATAAACAGTTCCCCCCGGAGTGGGCAGGGTTTTTTCCTCTCTTTACAGCAAGGCTCTAGGTAGATTCTGAAAAATATCTTTATCAATGGAAAGGAAGGCTAGGGGGGTTGGAGATGGAACCAAACAGGGCGCAGCAGCTGGCGCTGGGGCTCTTACCTTCCACCCACAGCTCCTCCACGTTGGTCTCGAGATTAGCTGCCTTTAATCCTACAGCGAAGGCCCCAAATATGAGGAGACCCACAACCAAAAACTTGCCGCAGTTTTTTTGAATGTAGCAACCCAGGTTGAATAAGAGTCTCTGAAACTTCGCTCTCAGCCACAGCGGCGCTTTCCGGCCAGTAGCCTTCCCCTGGGGACAAAGCAGAATCGAGGAGTGAGCGCAAAGGAGGTACAGCATTCCCCCCACCGCGGCCCGCGCACAGTCTCCCCGCAGCCCTGGGGTGCTGCACCCCGAGCTCAGGGCGGCCACAGTGCCGGCTCTCTCCCTCGGGGTTGTAAACCAGTCGGTTCTAGGGTACCCCGAACGGCGGGGGCGGTCACTGATCATAAATCAAATCCCACGGCATCGTGGGAGCGGCATTGCGAGGGCAAGCGGGGCGCCCCACGCACGTCCAGCGTGGTAGCGCAGTGTGATTTGTGACGCTGGGGGTAAGGGCTACACGGACACTGGGAAGCCGATGTAAAGGAGAGAAATCACCCAACACTGGCAATATTTGTGGGTAGAATCCAACATGTCAGAACTGGCAAACCAAGGCCCCCTTCCCCATAAATCCTGTTCTAGAAACAATCCCGTGGTGCCCAGGCGGGTCTGGGTGGTGGGGGGCAAGAGAGTTTTGAGAACAATGTACTATGGGCTCCCCCATCCGGACCCCGTCCGGCATGGTAGTAAAAGATCCACGTGGTGAGCGCGCCCGCGGGACCTTACTCGCGATGTATCTCCATAGCGTTAAGAGGCGCTGTGTGATCTGAATTAGGAAGTGGGGCAGCCATCTGCAACTAACAATATTTGTGATTGGAAGAAGGCAGCTACAGGGGGTTTTCCCCACTTTCCCTTCCCTTCTGGCTAAACGTGAAAAATACCCGAATACGCTGGGGAAGGGCCCAGGACAGCCCCAGCGGGGGTCCTGGCTAGGTGCTATTTGCTCCCGGCGGCGGCCCGAGCGGGCCCGGGTCCGGGCGCTCGCCTTCACCAGATTCCACACATTTCACCGAGCCTCGTAAACACAATGAAGCCGGCCTCACTGAGGACTTAAGGTGGCAATTTGTTTACAACTTTCCCTTTCAGCCCCGGCTCAGAGAATAGGCGACTCAAAAACTGGAAATGAAAAGAGAAGATGCCTTCTCCGGAAGATAGTTTTTAAGGGAGTAGCGATTTCACGCTCAACAAAAGCAAAACCGGCGGCCAAAAAAGGAAACCACCTTTACTTCGGCTCCCTCCACTCCCTCCCTCCCTCCGCCTCCCTCTACTCCGCCTCCCCCTCCAAGAAGTTCAGAAATGTAGCAACTTTAAGGGGGTTAGGCTGCAAATAGGGGCTGGGGTGCGGGAGGGGGTTCCGAGCCAGGGGGTACGGGGGCAGGGCAGTACTGACTGGGACGGATTTTCAAGGACTCCTGAAAAGAACGCTGGCGACAACGCGTGTACACACACACACACATACACACACACTCAGTGCACCTACACCCCCTGCGGACCTCAGGCAGTTTTTTTCCTTCCAGGACTGGAGGGAGGGTTTGAAAATGTTCAATCTCCACTTTTCTACTTCTTTTTCCTGGAAGTGTGTGTGTGTGTATGGCGGGGCGATCCCACTGAGGAAGAGGAGGGAAGAGAGTGGGAGGAGAGAGTCTGAAATGCACCTTGGAAATCTGCTCCAGAGCGAAGGCGGCGTCGCAGTAACTGGGCCGGTGCAGATAGTCCAGGTCCGGCACGGCGGGGCGGCGCCACCC